AGACAAGCTAGCAACTGGGAGAATACCTTCAGAAACCATGTATCTGATAATCTGATAACCAAAATATATATAAAACTTTGACAACTTAACAACAAAAAAGACAATCCAATCATAAATGGGCAAAGGACTTGAATAGACATTTCACCAGAGAAGACATTCAGATGGCCCCTAAACACATGAAAAGATGTCAGCGACACTAGCCATCAGAAAGATGCAAATCAAAACCACAGTGAGATTCTATTTCACTGCCACTAGGCTGGCTAAGATTAAAAAATAATAATGATAAAATAACAAAAGTTGGCGAGGATGTAGGGAAATTGGAACCCCTTACCCATTGCTGGTAGGAATGCAAAATGGTATAGCCATTGTGGAAAGCAGTGTGGTAGTTCCTTAAACAACTAAAAATGGAGCTACCATATGAGCCAGCAATTCCACTACTAGGTATATACCCAAAAGACTTGAAAACAGAGACTCAAGCAGATACTTGTACACCAATTTTCATTGCAGCACTATTCATAATAGACAAAAGGTGGAAACAATGAACCATGGCCTCACCTACCTTGAGACCAGAAGAACTAGATGGTTCCCAGCTACTACTACTGACTGTTTCAACCAGGGACACAATAGATAGTCTGGGATAGAATGAGAGAAAGATGTGGAACAAAACTCAAATTCCTAAAAAACACCAGACTTACTGGACCAGTAGAGACTAGAGGAAGCCCAGAGACTATTGCCCTGGTATACCCTTTAAACTTGGAACTCAAACCATTCCTGGTGATCACCTATCAGCCAAAAGACAGAATGGCTCATAAAATAAATAATATCATCCGTGAATACTGTGCTCCTCTAAACAATTATCTGAAAGAGACCTAAGGGTCAACATTTACTGTATTTTTATGCAAATAACATATGCATTATGTTTTTTGCCAACCGTGCAACCCCGTCATGCATTCTTTTCCTAGACATGCTATGTGCATTATATGTGTGGGTGCATTATTTATGTAGGCATGTTATTTTTGAAACAATAATGGTACTCCAGACCAAACATGATAAGGTAAGGGGAGACAAGGAAGCTAGATTAGTGGGAATAGAACAACCAGAATGGAAATAATGAGAACGCTGACACATTGTGAAAAGTGTAACCAGTGTCACTGAATAATATATATAGAAATTGTTAAATGAGAACCTAATTTGCTAAGTAAATTTTCTCCAGAATCACAATAAAGTATTTTTTAAAAAGGCAGAAACAATCTAAATACCCATCTATGGTTGAACAGATAAACAAAATGTGGTGCATACATACAGTGGAATACTACTCAGCTAGTAAGAGACATGAAGTCTTGGTACATGCTACAGTATGGATGGAGCTTAAGACATGCTGAGTGAAATAAGTCAACCCCAAAAGGACAGATATTTTATGACCTCATTTGTCATTTTATGTCAAGAACAGACAAATGTATAGAACCAAAGTTTATTAGAAGTTACCAGGGGCAGGAAGGAGGGGTAAAGTGGGGGTTATTGCTTATGGAGTTTATGGTGATGGAAGAATCACATTGATTAAGGGTAGGGTTACACAGCTGATTAATGTACTTGCTGTCAATGCGTTGTATACCTGTAAAAAGTTGAATTGGCAAAAGTTGTGTCATAGATATATTTACAACAGTGAAAAAAGGGCAGCTTATCTACAACCAAATGCCTCATGGGATTTGGTTCCTTGTTTGGAGGTTTAGGGTCATGGTTTCATGGAACATCCCAGTTAATTGGCCTAATAACATGTTTAGCGCTTCTGTTCTACCTCCTAATACATTGGTGGTGCCGAGGGTCTTAAAAACTTGCAAGCAGCCAGCCAGAGTACAATAATTGGTCTCTATTCACTTGGAACAACAAAGGAAGAAGGAGAGTCAGGAATAGGAGGAGGAAATGGAAGGTGTGACTAATTGCGTCCATGAACAACTGCCTCCATTGCCATGAGACCAGAAGAACTGAATGGTGCCTGGTTACCATTACTGAACATTTTGATCAAAGATTTTGTAGAAGAACCCTAATCAAAAGGGGGAAAATGCAAAATAGAATTTCAGATTCTCATAGAATCTAGACTGTCTGGAGACTTGGAGGCCTGATGAACCCCTGAAACTATTGCCCTCCGATAATCTTTAAACCTTAAACTAAAAATATCCCCTGAAGTCCTCTTAAAACCAAACAGTAGTTTAGCTTAACTAGTAAAGAATGTCTGCCTTGAGCACTGTGCTCGTTTAAGAACTATCTATATGGGATGAAATTGACAACAGCAGCTCAAAAGGTTAGACAGGGACCTTAGGGGGCAATAAGTTTATGTTAATGGGGGAGGAACAACTTGGAAAAGGAGGGTGAGAATGAATGCATAACTTGGAGAATGTAATCAATGTCACTGAATTTGCACATGTAGAAACTGTTAAATTGGTATATGTTCTGCTGTGTATATTCTCAACAACAACAACAAAAATAAAATATTTTTGAAAATGAGAGGAAAAAAGAAACAGCAGAGCTTTCCTAGTTGTAGGTTGAGGGTAGGGTACCTTGGCTCCTCCCTCCCTTCCAGCATCAGCTACTCAGGAACCTCAGAGAACTGAGTTTGAAACCAGTGCTTTCAAACTCGCATTTGTGTGCACCCCAAAATGAAGTGAGCTAAGAGAGGTAGCATGTGCTGACACATTGCTAAGCACCCATTAAGCATCTATTAATGACTGTATCTGAATGTACAGGCAGTTCTATTAAAGAGCAAACCAGGTGGATAAACCACGAAGGGGCCTTAAAAATAATAAGGGAGAAAAACTCGAGTATAAAATCCTCTGTAATAGAGACTGTCATTTAAGCTTTGTCAGAGTACACATCTGATATAGGAGAAGAGATTAATTGTGTCCGTGGAAGAAAGATCTGTACCTTGTACATAAGCAGGGATGTAGAGAGTAGGGAGTAGCTTGCAAAGAAACTAAACTACTAGATGTGTCTGAAATACTAGTATGTGGCTTTCTTTACTTTCTGATTCATTTGCTGCTCTAAAGATCAATGGGGTTTGAAAACAGCTGTTAATAACCTTGCCATTGTGCCCCATAGTAAATTTTAGATGCATTAAGAGTGGCCAAAATGAAGAGAATTAAAGAACCAGTTAAAAAGCACACTTTGCCCGAGTACCCTTTATACAAATGACCAAAGATTACTGAAACACAAATTTGATCAAAGAGCTTTAACTTTCTGCAAATAACTGATAAAATTTAGGAAGCTCAAACGGTGTATCAGAAGTTTCCGAATGAAGCTTCTTCCTTCAGAGTGCATGATTAGCATAATATTCTCCCTCACACATGAATGACAGTTATTGTTTGTGTAAACATGTTTTTCTTGCTATGCGTCTATGAACAAGAAAACACTGCCCAAGATTTAGCGTTTATGCAAGCAAAATTATCTATAACAATCTTGTGCATCTTTGAAGATTTTCCCTGCTAGCTCATTGGAATAGAAATGTCTTTCAAATCATGTAAGTGGTACTTAAGACATCTTCTTGTTCCATAAGTGGTCCACAGTGTGTAAGAATTTCAGAGTGGAGGCATCTTAACAATGCTTTGTGAGCCTCACCCACAGAAAACTGCCTGTTTTCAAGTGTGCTTTGCACGTTCTAGCATTTTGCATTTTAAAGACAGCACCAGAAAGATGTGAGTTGTCACTAGCTTTTTGCAGCCTTAACCTAGGGAAGGAGGGCACTGCCGAGGAGAGAGGGAAGGAGATAAACTTTCATGTTTATGGAGTCAGGGTGAGTGTGCAGAATGAGAGGAGACTGTCCTTGATGCCTTAACATAGATATTTATAATCCTGACAGGGTGTAGGGGCAGGGAGGGGGGTAACGGAGGAGTAAATTGCTATACCATTTGAATGACTAAATTTAAATATTTCACATCTAAGTATTTGGTAGGTTCCTTGGGTTGTATGTCATCAGAATTCTTGATCTTTTGTCTTTTTCTCCTCTGGTAAAGAATTTGTCTTGCATAATATTGTATTAAATCCCTTTTGTTTGTGCTTTTACAGGAAGGAGAAGCAGATGGGGCATTAAAAGAAATCAAGACTAGTCCTCGGCCCACAAGAACTGACTCCATTAACAAGTATGTGAAGGAGGATTAGGGCTGTCAGGCAGACAGAGGGGCAGTCTTCTCGACACTGGGAGGGTAAACATGGGCTAAGAAAGTAATGTCTTACTAGGACCTTTCAAGAATATTAGGTTTGAATGCTATTGAATGTTGCAGCCCAGACTGGCAGGGAATAAAAACAATGTTTGGTGCCTTTTTAGGCTACGTAATGCTCACCACTCTGTTATAGATGTGAGAGGTGAAAGCATACTTATTCTTAACCAAAAGAAGCTACTGGTTTTTAATCAAAAGACCTAAGTTTCCTGATTTGTTTACCAGTGTTGTTTGACCCAGATCAGGCTGCCCAGCTAGATAAGTGAGATGTTTCCATTTTCTTTTCTATTCATTGCCAGTTACAAGCCAAGGTGACTAATATTGGATAATCTCCTGTAACCGTGACTGTTATTGCTCTGAATCACTGTGAGTGGTTCTTGAAAGTGTCCAGATACCTTACCTGTGGAGTCTTGAGTTTACCTGTCTCAAGGACATACTAGCAAACCACTCACTTCCTTAGAGTTGATCCCAACTCAGAGTGACCCTACAGGACAGAGTACAACTGCCACGTAGAGTTTCCAAGGCTGTAAATCTTTACAGAAGCAGACTGCCACATCTTTCTCCTGAGGAGTGGCTGGTGGTTTGAACTGCCAACCTTTCAGTTAGCAGCCAAGTGCTTAACCAGTGTGGCACCAGGACTTCTCATACTAGCAGACATCTTAAATGATGAGAGGGACTTTGCAAAGGACAGTGCTAGAGGAACTGAGCGTCTGAAACCCCCAGTTTGACTCTGGCAGGTAGTGCTCACCCAGAATAAAACCCACAGCTGTCCAGTCAATTCTGACTCATCGCAACTCTGCATGTTACAGAGCAGAACTACTCCATAGGGTTTTCTTGGCTGTAATCTTTACAGAAGCAGATTGCCAGGCCTTTCTTCTGTGGTGACTTTAGGTGAGTTCGAACTGCCAACCTCTAGAAGTCCAGCACAAACCTTTTGTGCACGAACCCAGGGACCTCTACTCACTCACAATAGACTTAGATAATCCTCTGTAAGCAGGTTACTGTTGTATTATTAGTCTACTTAAGAGACAGTTATCTGAAAATTTCTCTAAAAATATCTTTCCTCATAGAGTTTTAAAACCTTTTTTTTTAAACTTGATGGATTGCACAGAGATTGACTTATAAAGCCATGAAATTTTTCCCCCCTTTTATGCTCCCAAGCCCTTGTATAAAGGAGAAAATAAGTGTTAAATAATATTTTTTTCATTAAACAGGGACTAAATGAAAGTTGTTGCCTTTTTTAGTTAAAAATTCCTCAGCTTTTCCCCAAATTGTTATTTTAATATCAAAAGACTTTCTTGGAAGTGAGAGGAAGGAAGCTAACCCTGTTTGAAATGTTCAGACCACTTCTTCCTAATTTATATCCGTATGAAAAGTCCACTTCCCCTTTAAGCCACACTGCTATTTTTTAGTAAATAACATCTTTGCCCTATTTGTGAGCATCTTAAGGAGTCAGAAATTGATTTCTAGGTTTGGAGTTCAAGCTTGGGGTCAGGGGAGCCAGGATTTAATACTGGCTATTTATTAGATCCTTGCCTTCCATGCGGGAGCCCCAGGTTTGATTCCCAGCCATTGCACCTTATGTGGAGCCACCACCTGTTCATCAGTGGAGGCTTGCATGTTGCTATGATGCTGAACAGGTTTCAGGGGAGCTTCCAGACTAAGATGAACCACGAAAAAAGGCCTGGAGATCTACTTCCAAAAACCAGCCAGTGGAAACCCTGGATCACAAGGGTTCGATCCCCAACCGGTCATGGGGATGGCATAGGACCAGGCAGCATTTCCTCATGTTGTGCATGGGGTCACCATGAATCAGTGGCTGACCTGACGGCAGCTTACAGTAACAACAGCAATTTAATAGATACGTGAACTTTAGTAGGTTACTGAAGTAGTAGCTGCTATTAACATCATCAAAGTGATCCTGAATGTTTTGTTATTGTAGTGGTAGTGGTGGTTTTGTTTGTCACTGAAATGTCTTTTTATTAATCAGATGTTGAAATCAAGAAAAATGTTTGGCATGCCAGCAGTCCCTACATTTCTGTGCTCTATTTAAAACCAAAAGTGTAAAATATTTTCTTCACCTAATAATTTTGTGTCAAGTTAAAGAAGGCCAACAGGGTCTGTGCGTGTGTCCCCAACAGTAGCACATGTTCTTGTACACGTGTCTTCCTGCAGTCCTCTTTGAGACTAGACCTCTAGGAAAGCCTGGAAACAAGAGCTGTATCTGTTGAACTCCTTCGGTGGGTTTTGTGGTCAGGTGTTGTGTATACAGTGAGCATTTGTAGGAAGTGAGCTCGTGCAGTATAAGGCTAGTCTCTCTGGAGCCTAACTCTTAGTTCCCCACCTGGTTTCCTTTCTTGGAAAGCACAGAGGAGTGTGATACGGGGGGTCATGGGGCCAGCTGTGCTTCATCAGTGACTGAGAATCAGTTGGAGAGTATTCTGTTAGGCAGTTCCTTGAAGTTGACTCCAGTTATACTGGGCTATTCTATTCTTAGACTTTGACATTATTATTTTCTGACGAAAACCTTTTAATCTTCGTACTGAAAGTGACATTGTCTCAACGTAGGAGCAGATCTGCAGAAGGAGCCAGGAATTATTTGGAATTTGAGGAATTAACTGTGAGCCAACTCCTGCATTGTCTAAGAGAAGGAAACCAGAAGGTAGAAAGACTTGAAATTGCACTCAAGGAAGCCAGAGAAAGGTATGAAATAGATATACATTGTTTTTTGTAACAGCTTTGTTGAGATATAATTAACATGCCATACAGTTCGCCCATTTAAAGTGTACTCTTTAGTGTTTTTTAAAATATTCACAGGGTCACGCAGCCATTACTACAATATAATTTTAGAAAATTCTCTCCCCACAAAAAGAACTCCATACCCATTAGCACTCACTCCTCCCTCCCTTGTCCTCCCAGCCCCTGGCAAAAGCTAATCTACTTTCTGTCACTGTAGATTTGCCTACTCTAGATGTTTCATTTAAATGCACACATACAATAAGTGGTCTTTTGTGTCTGGCTTCTTTCACTTAGAATACCATTTTCAGGGTTCATCCAGGTTGAAGCTTGTATCAGTACTTCATTTCTTTTTGTTGCCAAAATAATATTCCATTGTAGGGAACATGTCACATTTTATCTGTTCGTCAGTTGATGAACATTTAGGTTGTTTTTACTTTTTGCCTAGTAAGAATAATGTTACTATGAACCTTCATGTATAAGTTTTTATGTAGACACGTTTTCAATTATCTGGGGTGTATACCCCGAGTGGAATTGCTAGGTCATGTGGTAACTCTATATGTAATATTTTGAGGAACTACCAAACTGTTTTCCAAAGCAGCTGTACCATTTTACATTCATACCAGCAGTGTATGAGGGTTCCAATTTTCGACATCCTTGGCAACACTTGTTACTGTCTTTTATTTTGGCCATCCCTAGAAGATGTGAGGAAATCCTGGTGGCATACTGGTTAAGAGCTACGGCTGCTAACCAAAAGGTTTGCAGTCCGAATTCACCAGGTGCTCCTTGGAAACACTATGGGGCAGTTCTACCTGTCCTGTAGGGTTACTATGAGTTGGAATTGACTCAGTGGCAGTGGGTTTGGTTTTTTTGGTTTAGTAGATGTAAAATGGCATCTTATTGTGGTTTTGATTTGTATTTCCCTAACGACTAATGATGCTGAGCTGTTCCATGTTGGCCATTTGGAGAAATGTATATTCAGATCCTTTGCCCATTTTTCTTTCACTGGATTATTTGCCTTTTTATTAATGAATTATAAGAGTTAGTTATATATTCTGAATACAAGTCCCTTATCAGATATATGATTTGCAAATATTTTCTCATATTCTGTGGGTTATATTTTCAATTTAATAGTTTCTTTTGAAGCACAAAAGTTTATTTTGATGTCATCCAGTTATCGATTTTTTATTGTCGCTTGTGCTTTTGGTGTTGTATTTAAGAAACCATTGCCTAACCCAAGATCATGTGATTAATTTTGAGTTCATTTTTGTGTAAGGCTTGAGGCAGGAGTCCAGCTTCATTCTTTCATCTGACAATATCCTGCTATCCCTGCACCATGTGTTGAAAAGACTATTCTTTCCCCCACTGAATTATCTTGGTACCCTTGTTGGAAACTGATTGACCGTAAACATAAAGGTTAATTTCTAGACTCTCGATTCTATTCCATTGACCTATATGTCTGTCCTTATGCTATAATACCACACTGTCTTGATTACTATAGCTTTGTAGCAAGTTTTGAAATTGGGAATTGTGAGTCCTTCAACTTTTCTTGTTTTTCAAAATTGTTTTGAAATCTTGGGGTCTCTCTCTTTTCCCTATGAAGGGTCCCTATTCAGGGTCCCTTTTCCATGTGAATTTTCGGATCTGCTTGTCAATTTTTACAAAAATATTTGGAATTTGAGTAGGGATTGTGTTGAATCTGTAGATAAATTTGGGGAATATTGCCATCTTAACAGTATTAAGTCTTCTGATCTGTGGACATGAGATGTCCTTTTTATTTAGTTCTTTAAATTCTTCCAGTGACGTTTTGAAATTTTCAGTATATGAGTCCTGGACTTCTGATTAACTTATTCCCAAGTATTCTAGTCTTTTTTATGCTATTATAGCCATTTACATTATTTTCTTAATTTTTTTGATTGTTCATTGCTAGTATATAGAAGTACAATTGAATTTTGTATGTCGATTTTATATTCTGCAGCCTTGCTGCACATGCTGATCAGTCCTAAGAGTTTTTTAGTGGATTCTTTAGGTTCTGCTATATAGTAGATCGTGTCATCTATAAATAGAGATAGTTTTACTTCTTCCTTTCTTATCCAGATGGCTTTTCTTTTTTTGTATGTGTGTTTGCCTGATAGCCTTAGCTAGAATCTCCTCTATAATGTTCAAGTGGCAAGAGCAGACATCCTTGTCCTGTTCCTGATTTTAGGGGAAAAGCATTAAGTCTTTCACCATTAAGTATGATGTTAGCTATGGAATTTTTTT